AGAAACCTAAATAAAGAACTTAATTGTAGTTAGTAAACAAACTGAACTGACCAAGTAAACTTGATAAAGATTTAGTTRTGTCGAAGCTCTACAAGCTGAGCCGACCAAATCGACCAAGTAAAATTGAGAAATACTTGGTCATGCTAGAGCTGTACAAACCAACCTGACCAAGTAAACCCGATAAGGAGTTGGTCGTGCCAATCTCTACGAGCCAAGCTGTCGAGCACAAATCTCCTAGGGTCAAACCCGTGAGCCTTTGCCATAAGTCAAGTTCTTGGGCATAGGCTATAAGGTCAAGCCCATAAGGTCGAGTCTTATGTGGCAAACATCCCATGGGCTGAGCAGCCACCTAGTAGCTGAACAACACATGAGATGGAGTTCTTACTCCGCCCAATATGAAAGGATGTTTGTTGAGATTTCACGGTTTGCCCAAATTTAGTTAGCAATGAGGACAGAAAGATCACAATGTTCACATTAAAAATTTACATGAGGAGATTATGAGGTCAGTTGCCCTCAAAGAACCAACTATGTCTGTTACAACAGGGGTGCAACAACCCATGAGGAGTAGATATATATGAAGATAATTAATTTCTCAGACCATACCGAAACCTATCCAATTTTAGACTCAAATTAAACTAACTTAAGTATCGAAGTGAATTTGACAAACCCCACCCACCTAATTTTTTCTCTTGTGCGGCGACCTCGATCACATTCTCTACCACCACCTCTGGTGTTCCATTTCACTTCTAATTGGTTGATGCCTACACAACCAGCCAACTCAATGTTCATTCAAAATTACTCCAAAATCTTTTGCACCTAAACATGGTTGTCTTTGGTAGTTTTCAAATTTGTAATCTAACATCCTCTTAGAATGGAGCCGTACACACATGGTTTTGTGGATTTAGTGTATCTGAGATGAGAAGTTGAGAGATTTAGAAGAACCTTTTAAACTTATTTCTAAAGCTGGCCATTACAAGTATCCCTTTGTGTGAATCAAAAGTGGTCCCTTTGGCACATATAAGTCCAAAAACCCAACAACGATCCCTTAGTATGAGATGAGGCATTTTTCCCTTTAAAGACAGCCAAATCTTTGTATTTTCTACCATTCCTATCTCCATATAAGGCATTCAAGAATGGACCAATCAACCAACTCATTCTTAATCCAATGATGTGGAAGGCCTTGTTTGTTCTATTGTAATTACTAGCCTGCAAGTGGAGGCCCTTCCCTCTGTCACACTTGTCTCTTGATTTGTCCCACCAAACATGGCTTTTTCCAAAGGTGGCTGCCAAAAGTTTACTTGGTCATAAATAGCTGTCATATGACACAAGGTTAAATTGTAAAAGGTATAAAATTTATATGCCTCAACTATGTCCATTGAATCAATTAAAATCTTGAAATTTTCATAAGTGATCTGTTAGAATATCGTTAATAAACAATTCTCTTGCACGTGTATAGACTTCTTTAAATGCAAGTTGAGTGAAATATTAGAGATAAACGTTGGAGTTAAAGTGGGGTGTAGCAACTTTCATCAAAAATAAAACTAGAGGAAAAAAAAAAGATGAAAAACGAACCATGTTGATGAAAACTACTACCACCCACTTGATTAACATTTCTCTTTAATATTTGGTTAAACTTACATTTAAAGCAACCTACACATGTGATAAAGTTTTATTAATAATTTATCCAGACAAAAATGATAATGAATGGTATAAAAAAGTTTAGAGTTTTAATTTATTCAACTTAAATAGTTTATGGGTATAACTTCATTTTTTTTTCCAGTTATAAAATTTGTCATCCATGATTATATCTAAACTTTAAAAAGTTTTAATAGATTTAAATACTATTTTTGTTCAGTTTTGTATTATTTTAATCTTTTACTTTCAAAATATTAATTTTGGTTCATATACTTTTCAGTTTTTGTCCATTTTAATTAATCTCTATGTTTTCAAAATGTCTATCTTTTATCCTTATACTTTTGAAAAAGTGTTCATTTTGGTCCTTGTTTGCACAATTCTTTTACAAATTTTTCAAATAATACAAACATTTTAGTACAAAGTTATGATTATATTTCAAGAAATTTATTGGGTATAGTATTTTATTGTAATTGTTACAAAAAAATATAAAAAGGAAAATGAAGGGATTAAAACAAACGTTTCAAAGTGAAAGGCGTGAAATGAACCAAATCGAAGAATAATGATCAAAGTGAACATTTGAAAACTACATTGATCAAAATTAATAAAAGCTAAAATTACAGGAACCAAAATATAGTATTTAAACCTCTTAATTATTGTTACTTAAATTTGTTGAGTGACAAATTAATTTGACTAATAGATGAATAGGTTATGATTTGGTTGAATGTAAAACATTAGATCATAGGTCAACTATATAAAATAAGGGGAGTGGTAAAAAAATGGATGGATTGAGAGGTGTATACATTTTAAAACATACTGTCCTTGTTTTATCTACTTGACCTATTTTCTTATGTTACGTCTTACTAAGTCATTAATCATTAGTTTCATAGACTTGTCACATCAACATTTTAATGACAATGTTAGCCACCAAAACTTATATGAATCAAAATAACCAAAATTTTGTGAAAATTCAATTGAAACTATTTAAAGTTTAAGATAAAATTGATATAATTATAAGAGTTTCTGAACTAAATTTATTATATAACCTAAAAAAGGGTTTAAATCTAATTTGATTCTTCACTTTTAGTTTATTCAATTTTACATTGAAATTTTAAAGTGTCTATTTTAGGCCCTATTGACAATGTCCTTCTTTCTCCGTTTTTGTTTTTTAAAATTATGCTACTCTATCTCAATTTCATTGGTGGGATTTTACCATTTTAAAATACTTATTTGAGTTTTAAAAAGCCAATTTTTAAAAATAAAAACAAAATTAAAAAAAATTATTATTATTATTTTTGAAATTTGACTTCGATTTAAAGTAGATAAGATAGCAAAGAAACAGGGAAGGGTGAAGCCAATTTTTTAACAATAGAAAATAAGAAACAAAATAATTATAGAGTATTAGTCTGTAACAGATGAATTTATGTTGGCTTGCATTGAGTTCCAAGCTAACTGGTTGAGATGGATATTAGGCATCAGAGGAATGGAAAGTAAAATAATAGTCGGTGTTATAGGAAGAAAATAGAGATCAGGTAAGTGGGTCAGGACCCAGCAACCCAGATAGGCCATAGCCGACCAGACGATGAGTTAATGCGCATGAGACCTCCGTCTAGATCTTCTGAGTGTATTAGGATTCAACTTAGGTAAATCTTAAAACGAGAGTAAGCTAAACCCTACCTAAAAGTATGCCTAAAAATCCTCCCGATCTTAATGCTATTCGGTTAGAATTCGAGCATCAACAGTTGGGACTCTAAAATAATTTTTTTTTTAATTTAGAAATTTAAATAGGTTCCAAAATAAAATAAATATGAAATAAACCTGATAGGCAAATATAAATTTTATGGAAGAAATATGGATCTTCCACTAGACGCTTTTGAAGGCATCTAGTAAATTTAGAAAGAATTTTGAAAATTAAATATTATTTTATTCCCGTAATTTCGACTTGCTCCATTTATTCTATGAAAATGGGAATAAATGGTAGAATTAATTATTGTGACCCCTTTTAAACTTCGTAATCACTAAGGTTATTACCATATTACTTTAGAAAAAAAACATTCTAATCTACATATATACATATTTTTCTTAATACAACAAGTTGAAAGTACGAGGTTAAAACTTCCGCCATCAAGAAAGGTAAACAATTTCTTTTCATCTAATCTAAACAAATTTAACTCACTTGGACAAAGTAAAAGGTAAATAGAAAAAAAAAATCGCTATTCCCTCTATTTGCCAAGAATTATATACAAATAATAATAATAATAAATAACTATTACCAAACAATTTTATTTTGAAGAATAAAGATTTTTGTCAAAGATCTAAATATTTTGGTCCACTACAGAAAAGTCAGAAATTGAATTTAAGAAATAAAATGTAAAATCCGATTTTGGCCTTCAAAACTTTCATACTTCCTTTTTAATTCATATATTTTCAAACCTTCTATTTTAATTCCTAAACTTCCAAATAAATATTTTATTTTAATCCTGAACTTTTCATAAAAGAATTATATATTGTTCATGTTAATTTCCTAAACCAATTGACATAGACCCAAATTCGGTTACCGACATATTTGTGTAGATATGTATTCATCAATAAATAAACAAAGGACCTGCAATCACTGACTAAAATAATCGTTACACATAATTGAGGAACTAAATAGGATATTTGAAAATTTTATGAATAAAATGAAATAATGATGAAAATTTTCAGATAAGAAAAAGCAATTAAATTGCTAAACATTTAAGTTCGTATCTCTTTAAAAAGTGTCTAATAAGTCTCCAAATTTATAACTTTATATCCAAAATGTCCCTAAATTTTAAAAATGAATAATAAGTATTTCAACCTTCAATTTTGTTTCTAACATGTGTATATTTTCAAAAAATGTTGAATAAGTTAAGGATTATCGGACAAAAAAAATTAAAACTTTAAGAATATTAAATACTTTTTAAAGTTCATAAATTTACGAGACATAGGGACTAATAGTGTCAGTAAACAATATATATATATATATATAATAAAAATAAATAGGTAAATCTCCGGTAATAAACTTCCCTTCCATTTTCCCATCCATATGTAAGACAGCTTAAGATTCTTTACTAAAGCCTTAAAGAAAAATAGCTAAAGATTTTGAACAAATCAAAGCAATTTTATTGAAAATAATACAAAAGCTTCACTCAAGAGTTAACTCCATTTCTAGCATCTCTTCATAAAATTATGTGGCAAAAAACTCTTCACTCCCAACTTCACAAGGCTTCTACACTTTCACTATGCTATCGAAGACGATCGACCCAAAACGAATTACGAATAACCAAAAATAACGAAAAAGGATGAAGAAGCTCTTGTGCAAAATGAACATATACAATGACCAAGAGTTAAAATAAGCAAACTTTTTCCATATATTCTAGAACATGTATATAAACATATAGAATCACAATATCATGGATGTTTCCACAACCATGTTCTGAAAATTATATATATATATATATATATATCATCACTAAGCAGGAATGAAACCAAGCTACCGAAAAAGTTACCCGTAAACTTGGATCGTTTCCTCTACGTCGCGTTGCAGCGAGATGCCAGCGCGGGTAATGTTAAACTGCAACTCTGCTGCACTTAGAAGCTATGCTGCTCTTGCTGCCATAAGAGAGCCATAGCAAACAGTTACCTCCAAAATCTAGAAGAAGATAGCAACCCGGTCCAGCTAGATGCTGAATCGTCGTAACTTCGAGTCTGGTGACCGAGTTTCAGCCATGTTTTACACCAACAAGAGCCAGACCCAAAGGGGAGAAGACAAATAACATGATAATCAACAAAATGGTAAGTCGTATTACTACACAATCTTATAAAACGACCTCTCTTATCGCGAGAGGAATGTTATGGTTCTGTTAGATACGGCTGCGTGTAGATAGTGTCAACTCTATTAATAGTCAGATCTCACAAATTCACTTATCTCGTCCATGACGGTATAGAAGTGATCGGTATTCGGTAGCAAATAGAAGCCAATGGTTGCCTGCTCAAGATACAAAAGTTTCACTTCTTGGCCATCCTTCTCAAGCCCTTTGGCATAAGCCAATTGCCAGTCCTGGACGAGATCTAAACCAGCCACCACGACGAGGCTCTTCGGGAACTTGATTCCTTCGAGGCTATTACCCCTCGGGCCGAAGGGATTACATGCTGGATGGTCTCTATCTTCTCCTTCAGGGAGGAAGGCCCTCCAATACCAGTCTCTATCCCGGATGGTGACGAAATACTTTCCATCCAACCGAATCTCAGATTTAGTTCTTTCCTGTCCTCCAAACATTGGATTAAGAAGTATATTGCCGAATACTTCGATTCCCGACTTTATTGCTCTTGATGCAACATGGTGTACAATGTTTCCACCCGAACTATCGCCAGCCAAATAAATGTACGTTTTCGAGTCTTTACTTTGAAGCCATGACCTCGAATGTACCCACTTGAGTGCAGTCCATCCATCATCATAAGCACATGGATACCGATTTTCAGGTGCACGCCTGTAATTCACAGAGACAACAACAGCCTTGCAAAGACTGACCAATCGACGACATAGAGTGTCGTAGATAGCACTATTAGCAGACGAATGCGCAAAGCTTCCACCATGAAAGAAAACAATAACAGGGACCACGACCTCAGAATCCACAGGCTTCTCAAGATCAACAATGTTTGTAGTCTGAGGTTCGCCTCCATTGGCAGGGCGATATATTCTACAAAGGAGGCTCGTAGCGCGATCGATAATGACATCAAACGAGAAAGCCCCATCAACAGCGTTAGCATTGGCTGGGACTTTCCGGTCAAGAAACTCTGCCAAATGCCGATTGAAGGTCCCATCAGGACGACGAAGAAGATTGTAAGCCAACTTAAAGTTGGAAATGAGAACCCAGGTATTTAGTGGAACCACCATCTATGCATCAAACAACAATATTCAAAACAATCTCAGAAATTCACCAAAACAAAAACCCCAAATCCCCAAATCAAATCACTAAAAACTCTCTCTCGACAGGGCATTTCAAAGATTAGCACAGAATGGAACTAGAATCAGAGTCACAGCACACATTCAAGAACAGAGAAAGGAGAGCTAAAACAAAGCTAAAGAAACAGTGCCCATTTCACCTAAATGTTGAGATTGAACTTCAAGAACAACATATAAAAACTCGAAACACTCATAAAATCTGTCGGCCAATCCCTACTCAACATCAAGCTAAGCAAAAATAAAAACAAATAAAATAAAGACTAAACGAATATGCTTTCAGATCAACCCCAAAACCTAAAAATCACAAGCCCCCAAAAAGGGGGGGAAAAAGGAACAAAAACAGAATCAGAGTCAACGATTGATCAGCCAATAATAGAAAGAAACACACCACAAAAACGACGCGACCCAAATGGGGAGGAACAAAATTGGCAAAAAAAGATAAAATCAATTAAATCAAACCATTACCCTCGACTCGTTGAGATTGATTTCACTACTTCCAGCCATCATCGAATCGAACCCACCAAGAACAAAAAGAAAAAACACAAAACCCCTTCAATAAACCCCCTCCGGCGACCCAACGGATTCAAGATCTCGAAATGGAAGCAAAATCCGAGCTCAAAATCGCGAACCCATTGGAGGAAGAGCCATTTGCCGCGTAACTTGGGGTCTCTGAGGCTCCAACTCTGAAGAAAGAAGGATCAATAAGAGAGGGCGAAGGATAAGACTTGGCGGCGCATGTTAGCGGGAGAAGGAAGGGAAAGGCTAAAGTGCGCCGTGGGAAGAACCCGGACGAGAGAGACGACAAATTGAGAGGCCGAAAGAAAGCCTGTTCAGTGGGACCGCCCAATCCAAAATTTAAGTGTAATTAAATTTTTTTTCCTATGGTAAATATTTATGACGTAATAAATGGCATTTTTAAATGTTTTTTTTAGGAGATTTAGATTACTTTATTATTATTATTATTTCATACGAGAGATCGAGGGGAGAGGACACTGAGCTTTCCCGTGCGCGCGTGCGTGCGTGCTGGCTGACGAGAGAGCACGTGACGACAGTGGACGGGCTCTGCAGAATTACTATTGTGCCCTTGTGTTCTTTCTGATCTACTAAAATAACCTTTGGCTTTTTGGTATTATTCATATTAGAAAATTTTTCAAATAATAAAAAGAAAAAGCGTTTGTTGCAGTGAGAAGACAAAAATTTTGTTTTAAATCGGTTCTTTTACTTTTAACTTTTATCTTCTTTTTTTTTCATCTATTTTCAATATGTGTTTGTCAATTTGATCTATGTATTTTTATCTTTATATTTTTAAGTTTATTGAATATTTTATTTATTTAATTTTTTTTTTGCATTGGATTCTTTTATTAATTACAAAAAAAAAGAACAATTTGAAAGAATGAAAGTTGGAAGTACTGTAAAATAGACAAAATTTAAAAATTTGGTGATCAAAACACAATTAAATCCAAAACTTCCTTCAAAATATTCTTTTTTACTTCTAAACTTCGCAAAGATGAATCAACTTTTACCTAAAATTTTTAATTTTATCTATCTTAGACTTTAGGTTGGGATAAATTGCTGCGAAATCTTACCTCATATTTAAGCTTTCATATAAAGAATTGTTAAAAAAAAATAACAATAATTCTCGAGTTTAATGGACAATAACACAAAGGAAACTAGTTAGAAATTGGTGAAGTTTTAAATAACTAAACAAGCACTCTAATGTTTGTTGAAAGTGGTGAGTTTTGAGAGATTTACTTAATTGGTAATTTTGTGCATTTTTTATGCATTAATTTTTAGGTCCGTAATTAATGTGTTTCGAAAGATTTTTACATTATTTTCTATTAAAATTAATGTGTGAATGCACCTCAAGTTCGAAAAGTTGTAATACTCATTCAAATTTAAAATTCAATGGGATGAAATTGAAAATTTATAGTAGAAGTTGGTTAATTCTTTCAAGATTAAGATTAAGATGTTAGTGGGTTGGAAGTCAACTTTTTTCACATATCGCACATCTAGATCTGATCTCCAAGAAAGTCACATCAAAACACCATTACTTTGGGAGACCAGGAATTCGGAGGCGTCCACTTTCCACCACTTCGATTCTGGTTCCATGATCTCTAGAGTATGTCATAGTCTCAAGAGAGGATATCGCGGATGCTTAATACACATGATCTTCGGGGCACATTATGATCTCAAGTGACAATGTCGCACGCAATATTAATGTCCAGTCGTGAGCTGTCTATAAATTCTGATGGTAAATTGGCTTATAGGTATGTGTAAATCTCGATTTGAAGTTGAGAGGAAATTAGTTTGGACCTCTACTGACTTGAACGTCGGGGTGTTCACTCTTTTCTTGTAGGTTTTTTATTAGTTGGAATTCATAAAACGTTTGAGTGGAATTTCATGCTCAAATATAATAGAAGTAAACATTGATTTTTTTTTCCAAAAAATATTATCCAAAATTATCTTTGAAATATATATTTTAAAAGAAACAATGAGTTGGAAATTCTTAATTTCCTTTCTGCTAAAAATAATCTTTATTTTCATTTTAGATACAAAAACGGTTAAAATTGTTTATTTTAATCCACTAACTTTCATTAAGTTCACATTTGGGTCTTACAGCAAAATTAAAAATGATACCAAACACYACACATAGATAATAAATAGTGTTACATCATACTTTCAATAACTTAGAGTAAGACTATAGATGAAAATTAACGTATTAAAATGATCAAAATAAAAAGGATAAAAAATATTCATTAAAATAAAATTTCAAAATTTTCCGAAAATAAAAATTCAAAACCAAAATAATATTTTTATTATTTTTAAATATGTAATTAAGTATACATACTCTCAATAATTAATAAAATAATTTCATTTAATCAGTAA